GACCTTTTGGATGCTACAGCACGTCACGTGCCTGTCTATATTCTTCTGGATGAACAAAATGCCCATCATTTTGTTAACATGGTGGCAAGCTGTAAAGTTAATCTGGATATGATCCATGTAAGTTCAATTTACCTCAACTAGCCTAAGTTTGAATTTTAAGAAAATGCAGATTTAATGGTGACTTCACTGGTTACAGATGATGCGGGTACGGACAGTGGCAGGCATTACCTATTTCTGCCGCACAGGAAAATCATTTAAAGGTCAAGTGATGGACCGTTTTCTTCTGACAGACTGCAGAGCAGTGATCAGTGGAAACTATAGGTGAGCTCAGTGGCAGATAAGAATTCAACTCTAATGCATGCCCACTTGTATGTGGCACAGATGACACTATTCATATTTCTTTCTCTCTTTCTCCAGTTTTATGTGGTCTTTTGAGAAGATCCACCGTTGCATTGCCCATTTGTTCCTTGGAGAACTAGTTGCCACATTTGATGAGGAGTTTCGTATCTTGTTTGCTCAGTCTCAGCCTCTTGTTGTTGAAAATGCCCTTGTACCCATGCCACAAGACAATACAAGTAGTTACCTTGGCAATCAGTTTGGCTTAAAAAAGACTCAGTCACTAAGGAATCCCAGAGGATATCTTCGCCAGCCTGAACTTACTGGTTACCCATTTGGGGATCGTCTTGAATCCATACTACCTTTTCGGAGGGAGGACCCGTTCCGCCATACACTTGAACCAGGTGCAGGTCCTATGCAGGTCACAAAATATGCAACACAGCAGTTCAAGATACAACAGTCATTCTTGGAACCAGGACGCTCAATGTTAGCCTCCAGGCAGCTGGAAATGAATGCCTTTAAGAGGCATAGCTATGCCGAGGGCACCCATGAGACCTACGCCTCCTCCCGGCAGTATATGAAACAGCGTGTAATGAACAACTTGGAGGAGATGGAATCGCATTACCAGCGAGAACAACATTACTATCATAGTGAAGGCATGGGACCGGATTCTGAGCGCGGGCACTATGACCGTCTTAACTACGGCATGTACCAGACAGATCAACACCCTGATTCTGCATATCCACCTGAACTTGAAGCACCAGGAAATCTGAATGTTTTGTCCTCTGACGACCTCAAAAGTGATTCAGAAAAACAATACTCAGGAGGGGCACGCTATGGTCCACAAACCCACAAGAGGCCTGCTGCAGGCCACGCATATGCCTGTCAGAGTTCGCCGACTCAGCCACATCCTCCTGACCACAAGCAGTTGTTCTCCACTGGAGAGCAGGTACGGCAGTCCCAGGACCCCAGTGTAAAGCAGGGATTGCGGAGCTGGAGAATCAACTCTTATCTCAGCACTTATGAAGATGCAGGAGAGGAGGGCCTGCATCAGCCAATGGGTCCAGATGCCTTTGATGAGCCACATCAACAACCTGACAGCAGACATTATGGCTCAGAGGGACCAGGCTTTCATTTAAGAGAGCGTCCAAACATCCCAACTAAGCTAAACCTTGATTTGCGGCCACGCTATGGTAAACCCATCATACAAGATAGGAATCAAGTGAAAGACATTAGCTCTGACCTGGGTCCCACAAGTACTGACACATTAAAGCCAGCCATTTCAGCTTCATCCCTAGCATCTTCAACAGACAATGAGAAGGAGCCAGAACTGAGGGAACCAAGGGAAATCAGCATTACCAAGCATGAGTCTTTCCGATCTCGAATTAACCCAATGCTGCAAAGGAGCTCAAGACTAAGGTCTTCTTTAATCTTCAGCTCCTCAAAGCTGGAGCAACACAGCTCCTCGCAAGCTAAGTCTGGTGGGGAGTTACAAGAGGAGAAAGATGAGAGTGAGCCTATTCGATACTCATCTATTGTAGCAGAGCTTCTGGAGAAGAGGAGGTCGCTGTCAAGAGAGCCGTTTGACTGGAATAAGCATAAAAAAGCAGAAGAAAAAGAGGTTAAAAATGCATCAACAGGAGATCTGACTACGATCACAGATGCCAAAGAGGAGCCTATCAAAGAAAAGGAGAAACCTGACAACCCTGAACCTGAGGACAATAAAGTTACACAGCCAACAGAGCCTTTGAGATCTCAGCAAACAACTTCTTCCCTAAACATAAATGATCCAGCAAGCAGACTTCAGTACTTCAAAGATTTGGAAGAAAAGAGAAAGAGTTCAAAATTAGAGTTAGATTTGGGTACTAAAAGTCGAGAAACAGCCATGAAAAAGCCAGACCTCACTGATACAGCAACCACAAATGTGCTTGTTACATCAGTGGAGTCCTCTGTAAAGACACAAGAGCCAACGGTTACGCTAACAGATCCTGTACCACAGCGCTTGGTGATTGCAACAAAACCATCTGAAGTCTGTGTGGACAGGCCGCTCACGAACAGCAAAACTCTGACGGAGAGCACAGCTGATGCAGCAAAGAAAGAGCCAGCTAAGGAACCTACAAAGTCACTTCGGCCTTTCCCATCACCCAAGTTCTTAAAACCATTCAAAGCCTCTCAATCTTCTCATCGTCGAATCTCATGCGGCGAAGATATTCTTACGGATGCAACAGATGCTGAAAAGAGTGAGCTTAAGAAGTCTCGCAGCTTCAGCTCATCGGGCATCACCCGTGCAGAGTCCAAAGAAAGCCTGAGCTCCCTAAACCTTGGGAACTCTGATGGCAAAGATACAAAGGCCCTTGATTTCCTCAAGAAACAAACACAGAGATTAAAGGGTTTCCTTGGGCCAAAGGGAGAAAAGAAGCACTCAGGAGTTTCCAACTCTCAAGAGGACAAGTCAATGAAAACAGTCCCTGAGATCCAAGAGGAGCCCTCAGACAAAGAGAAACCATCTGAATCCATATCATCTTCAACCATAGTAGAGAACAACAAACCCAATGTTAAACCAACTCCATCACGCTATCAGTCCTCTACCTCAAATGTGATATTTAGCAGCAACCTCAGGGATGATACCAAGGTGATCCTAGAGCAAATCTCTGCAAATAGCCAGAAAAATAGACAGCAGACTGAAGAGTCTGGGAAAGTCGAGGGGGGCAAGGAAGAAGAAGTTTCCAATTCATCCTTCCAATTTCAAAACCGGAACCGGTTCAGCCGAACTCCAGTCAACCCACAGGAGAGGGACAATCTGCTGAAGAGAATAGAGAGCATGCGCAAAGAAAAGAAAGTCTACAGTCGTTTCGAGGTACTTTATCGTAACCGAGAAGAGTGTTGCTGGGACCAGGGAAATGTAGAGAAGGCAGAGCAAAGTCTGATTAGATCAATCACATGAGATCCTTGTACAATATTTGTAGTGAACGTATATTTTATTTCTGCTTATATCTTATATATGAAGTATATCATTTCTGAGCAAAGCACCTAAATGTAGCATTTCATGTCTAGGTATATTTATTGACAAATTATATTTTTCCTTTTACATGTTTATTTATTATTTGACTTTACATTCTTTTGTGGTATGCCTAGAATTTAAGAATGTAAATTTAAATTTCAAAAGTAATTCAGTGTTGTTATATGACATGCCATTTAAATATGAGTTTGTTTGCAACCTCCAATCTATTTGTTTTAATTTATGATAGAAATAAATGAAATAGACTATCACAGAATCTCCTGTACTATTTGTGGGCTGATGGATGAGAGATTAGTAGGATGATTCACTCACGTATCTGTCACTCTGCTTCAACAGATGGGGAATAACCTGGGATAAAAATGGATGAAGGGGCCAATATTCCTCACAGAGAACTGTAAAGAGAACCTGAAACCATTCTAAAAAAAAGTACCAAACATCCCCAATACTCCTGTGAACAGACACAGAGAAGCAAGCAAGTTGCTTCAGATATAAGTGTCTGCTAAATGACTAGTAATCTACAGTGCATGGTCCATGGATCTCATATAAACAGACCACGAACATAGCACAACCTAAAATATGAGGATTCTTGATGCAGCAGGAGGAATATTCCTCGCTCTGTGCCAATCTGAGCCCACAGATGATTCACTTTGCCCTTATAAGGCATCAGGGCATACCTCTTAACAGTAATCACACGCCATCCCTACAGAACATAGAAACACAAGTCAGGCCAAAGGAGGGTTTGAACTTCAAGAGGCCTTTCTCAGCTTTTTCTTTTTCTGCTGGACCTTTTAAGTTCTATAAGATGTGTATGTACAAGTGTGCACAATTTCCAATGGAAATTAACGTGTCTGGGCAGAAGCTGAGATATGCTACTCTGAAGGCACCAAAACACACCCTCTTTAAAGTACACCACACAAATGCCCCAGGACACGTCATGCTGAAATTATGCTTTGGTGCTGAATGTGCCAATGGATCACAGGCATAAAGGAAACCAGAGATGGTTGGTAGAAAACGCCACTTTTGAAGGCAAAGAACAGAAAAACTGTGGAACCTGAAACTGTCAAGAGATGACTGGAAAGTATGTAATGGATGTATTAAAATGAAAGGAGGCCCGTTCATTCATCTTTCCTCTATCAACAGTGTGCTATCAAGAAAGTGGCCTGAATGTCGAGAAAGTGATGTGAGGCGTGGAGTTGAATTAATTGTTTTTCACCGGCAATCAGAACTTGCAGGACAATGGTTTCAGACATACTATACCTGTACATTCCTGCATGAACTGTGTTGTCAGGAGAAACGGTAAAATATTAGGTTGATAAAGATATTCTCAGGACTGGGCTTTAGCCTGTATTTTGTCAATGCAAAATTTAATTAAGACAGAACGGTATTACTGAACACCAAAGATTTTCCAGAGTGCTCTCTGGATGTGTCATAGGACTGATTTATGGAAACTGGAAGCTGATCTAATGAGGAATATCTGATCTAGAAGTGTGATGGAATTGAATTTTGATAAGAGTGTCATCAGTACATTTTTTTTGTTTATAAATGCAAATCCTGGGGAATTTAGACTTGTTTACAAACTTTTTTATTGTGTCTTACACATTCTAAATAAATGGTTTAAGAAACTTTCATTTTCTAGGTACGGAATGGTTTAATTTTGGTTTTAAACAGTATTTGTTCAAGCATTTGTTGACAATACAGTTGGTAACAAGTTAAATTAGGACAATGGAACAGAATGGAAAAGAATATATAAGCTGCTTCTTTGTAAAATTCATATTTGTTGGAAGGTATTAGATACTCAGCTTAAGTTTGCAAAATCAGTTTGAGGTATTCATGGTGCTTTTTCACAAGTGTCCATGTGCATCTCTGCATTCTGGGTGTGGCTTAACCTGTCCAGAAGCTTGGTCAACTGCTCCAGCTTCTGTTGTTCTGTAGGGATGGACACACAAACACACAGGAAAGAATCAGATTACTGTAAGGATGATGTTGGTCTCTTGTTTAAGGGCTGTCAGTCCAATGTTAAGAGTTCAGTTCTAGGTCCACAGACACTTGGGTATGAGGTTACATTCCTGTGCGATCCCATCATTGCAAGTACTCTAGCTTTAGGATGTTTTTAAAAATGGCTCAATTCAGAATATCATGCTACTCTTTAATATGTCTGCCATAACTACTCAGACTACTCTTAGCAGAGTAGTCTGCTAATTTGCTATTCTGAATTTAGTGACGGTCTTGTTGACTGGCCAAATGAGTCATTTTGGAAAAATGACTGGACTAATTTGACTTCTACGTCTGAATGAAACCAGAACGGATCAAATGTCCCACTAAGCACGCAACTACACACTGGCTGTACTGGAGAGGACCATAAAAACTAAGCAATGGAACAAAATTTATAAAACGTACCAGCCTTCAACAGCTGCTCAGTGGTGTACTCTGCAGACTGTATTTCTGCTGGAAGTCTTTGTGGAGTCTGAAAAAAAAAAAAAAAGGAACATAAAAGCTATTATAAAATTCTATTGTTCTATGAATAAAGCACTCTCCATTTTACAATTACAAATAAAGAAAGCTCAGTTGCTTTTAGTTTAATATCCATTCTCATAGGCCACTTACAAAGACGGTGGACAGGTTTTTATGCTGCTCCATTAATTGCTGAAGCTGATTCTCAAACTTCATCCTAAAATGAAATTAGATTATTTAAAATAAGTACGAATTTAAAAAGCAGCCTCTCTAAATCATAAAATACGCTCTTATATTTTATAATTGTCATTTATTCCTGATAACATCAGTAATGGCTTGTGCTGCTGAACTAGTGGGTTTTGGCATTTCAGTTTGAATGTGGGCATTACAATAGATGCTCTGGCAATACATGCAATGGTATTCTAAGAAATGACACAGCATCTCATGTCTATTTCTGATATGTAAACATTTCCCTTCTCTGTTAAAAACAGTAAGTCATACCGAATCTTTCTGTGCTTTAGTTTGGTCTCCTGGATCTGAAAGCAGTACTGCTTTACTACTTCCTCTTTCTGATGGTTCTGCTCAAGCTGCCTAAAGAGTTACAAGATAAAACGTAAATCAAATAAAATGGTGCCGTCTAGTATGTCTCACAAACATTTCTGTGTTAACATTACGTAAACAAATGACAAAATGCTGCTCTCAACGTCATCCTATTTTAATATGATTTGTGTAAGGTATCGAGTGAATACATTACACACCCTTTACAAGACTCATTGACCTGAGACCAAAGCTCAATGTTGGTGACTCGTGTTGTGATTCACACGTGAGCAGCTCCCATTTGAAGTGTCTAAACACCCATGAGTGTTGTATAGATACCCAAGTATGCTTACCTTTGTGCCTCTAGCTGGAGGTCCTCACATTTAAGCTGCAGAGATCTGTTTAACTCTTTATGACAAGTGTATTTGTGTTAACACTGTAAATATATCTGATAACAAAGCTTATGTAATTTATGGGCTCATTGTTTGGTTTTAGGCTAGAGTACCTTCCTTTTCATTCAGTGTTCCCTCCAACTGTAGGGCTTCAGCAGTTACTGCAACAAAAAAGTACACTGCTCTTTACTGTTTTACCCTCATTTAAATGAATGGTACTGTGTAAATCATACTCTTTTACCATTTGAGAGTAATATGAGTATATACATACATGCATCTTCCTCCTCCTTCCTAGCACATCTGAGGAGCATAGTTTCCTTTACTTCATCTTCAAAGTGTTTTTTGGCTGAAATCAATATATGGGTGTTAAGTTTTGCTTTATAAAATGTGTTGATTTACACTGACTGACAGATTTACAGTCTAAAGAGGCTAATTGACCTTGTTGCAGCTTCCTGAGTTTGATTAACAGCTCCGCTGGTTTCGGTTCTGCCCGCCAGCCTATAAAAAAACCAAATGTTTTTGTAAGAAATGCAAAGGCATCAAATCCCATTGAGTGGACAGAGAAAAAAAGATCTGGTTTATGGGTTAGGCCCTCACCATGTAATGTAATGGGGTAAAAGGTGAGAAATAACAAACTCGTCGGTTTAGTAGGATTATTTTTAACTTAACGTTAATTATATTATTTAAAATGAGATGTAATGTAAAATGTAATGTAAAAAAAAAACAACTCGTTAATGAGTCATGTCATACCTGGGCTTTCTGAAGTCTTTATAATATCTTCGATGTTGAATGATGACTCTGTACAAAACAATATTTAGCAAGCTGCAGTACTCGAAAATCAAACTCAACCTGCTTAAGTTAAGTTAGCTGACTAGCCAACACCTCTACACAAAAACAAACAAGCAAACAAAACAATAACCCACCAAGTATCACACTCATTACGACGCCAGTTGATATATATATATATATATATAAATTTGTGAGGTAAGTATATTAGAGTAAATATACTGAGGTGAATGTGTGGTTTGTACGCGGAACTGCTGAGGTCAGTTCACAGACTGTAAAAAAGAGACCGTTTAACTGCTGTTCACGCGCATCTGTATTTTAAACATACTCATGTTGTCGTAAAAACCCGTTTGATTTAAAATGCCTTTGTAATACAAATTATTATGCGATAAATTAAGTTTTGTTTAATTTAAAAAAATAAATATTGATTTAGCAACAATTACAGAAAAAAGGTTGTAAACTGGTCATTTGGCGCCATCACCTGGTTAAACATGGTAGTGTTAAAAAATAACCGTGGAATTGCGAATAAATATAAATGGTGCTTTTCTTGAATTCTTCCAATACCTGATTTGCAAAAAACTACACAAGTAGGACTACTCACCACTGCAGCCTTTCTAGTATAGCAAATAAATATTTGGCCTACAAAATGTCTTGTATATTATCACACAATTTCGATTATAGGTTTGTGAAAATAGTTTTATTGAAGAAATACAAATTTACTGTTAAAACAATCAGTTACAATACAAATGTTTTTTATATTAACACTTGAGATAACAAGAACTTTATATTCAATTCTTACAGCCATGACAAAATTTAAGAAACACTGTCAAAATGTAACTGGCTGATTCTAAAAATAACTACTCTTGGTCTAACAACAATACTAACTTATACATTATGAAGCAAAAGAAACAAAATGAGCGAAACAACATAAACAACATGCTTGTTAAGGACAAAAGCATTGTTGGATTAAACAGAACTGAACAGTCAACATTGTTGAATGTCTCCCTAAATGAATTACTACCACTTGATCACATTTTCAAGAATATTAATCACCGATAACACTAACATTTCTAAAAAAAAAAATTATAATAAAATAAATTAAACAAACTACATGTGATGCTTGTAGTTTCAAACCAGACAGACATTCTTTTTTGGATTCTAAAGCATACATTTGAACCAAAGTCCATACATTTCACATGTATAACTTAAACAACAACCATTTAGCTTATGTCTATAAACATTTTTTCTTTAAATCTGAGAGGAATCCTTCTTGTGAAGTCAGTAATATATGCATGTGTTTGTATTTCTTGCTGACCTCAGCTGTGACAAGACAGTATACCAGAAAAAAGAAATCTGTTGTTCAATACTAATTCAAAGTTAATGTTACTGATTCCAAGTTAACAGATATATATATTCACTGGTTACAGAAAAACTAACAAATAATGTCTTTTTGATGGAGGAAGTTAAATGAATAATACTGATGAAAAATCCAATAAATTCTGAACAGAAAAAAAAATTAAAGCATAGGTTTTGACAAAAAAACAAAACAAAAAAACAACAACAGTTTGGACAGAATTCTGTTGCTAAATCATTTCTCAGCATCTTCTCAAAAAAGTGCTCAAACTATTTTTTGTGATGCTTCAAGACTCATTCTCATCAGTACTGCATGTAACTTGCACACTCAGAAGGAAGATCACTTCCATCCCTGTTTTGCCTCATTACAATCCACTGGTTGTTATTGCAGGACCAGTCCTGCAGCGGCCAATCAGCATACGTGACAGTGACCACCTCATCCACTGGACCACGGTCCCTAGGTCTGAGAGAAGGCTCGAAATATTGAATAACTTGAGACTGGTCAAACTGCCCCGAGTATGCATAATGAACAGGATTCGTGAACTGTTCCTCATACATACAGCTGTGAAAGCACATTTGAACTTCAGAATGCGTGTTAGTCGCTAAAGGCAGTGCATCATTGTCTGCGCATGTGGTTGCAGGGCTTTGGTCTTCGATCTCAGGCGCCACTGTGGTTGTCTCTCTTAGAGATGTTCTCTCAATGATAACAGGTCCCTCCTGCAGTGACAGGCTTACCTTAAACACAGGCTCCTTAACTTTGTTTGTACATACTACTTTCTTAGGATGACCCTTCTTCATTTTTTTGGACATCTGATGGGTCGGAGCTCCAGCAGGAGCTATAAAAGCCCGTGCATCAGAAGAGGGCAGCATAGACTCTGCTGGATGTTTAAGAGTCTGACTGGGACCTTGAGAAACAAAAGAAAATCTATCAATGTCTGCCTGTAACATCCTTAGAACAAAATAGTGTAAACCTCACAAATTGTTAGATTTATGCTTAAATCAAGAAATAAGGATTTACCAATGGAGCAAAACAATTTTCAGACATAATTCAAGATATATTCTCTAAAAACAGAGACCTATTTATAAACTTTTTTAAAGTAAGTTTATGTATTTTACTAAAGCATATGGCCAAAATACTAAAGAAAATAAGAAAAAAATTTTGACTCGGGACATAAAAAGGATAAACTCTATACACATATACACTCACCAGTGGTGTTGTTATCAGAAGGGGGCAGCGCAGACTCTGCTGGCCGTTTAAGAGTATGACTGGGACCTTGAGATAAAGAAGAAAATCTATCAATATCTGCCTGTAATCATTTTCTTAATTATTTTTGCTTTGTTTTCCAGTATAAATATCAAAATGCCGTAATAATAAGAAATTGAGAAAATAATCGTAAGGCACTCAATATCCAATTGTGTTATTCATTAATTTTTCTTTATCTTGTTGGTGTTAATTACAATCTCTACCCATAAATGAGCACCTTTTCCCTTTTTAAAATTTCTTGTTTAGGGCAAAATAGCAGTTTTCTATTTTAAAGAGGCTATATGTAAGATTCTAGCCTATTCATGTGTGAACAGCTTGTAAAGAAACTTAAAAAACCTTCTTCAACTTCCTAGGTTGTCTAAGAAAGACTGTAGACTCTCTCTCTCTCTCTCTATATATATATATATATATAGATACACACACACTCACCTGTGGTGTTGTTAGTTCCTTCCTTGAAAGACAACAGACCTGATCTCCACCCCACATCGGCTCCACAGTTCAACACCCTCATGCCTTTTGATAAAGAAATGATGCATATAATAAATAATATAGTGAGGCAGGTTTGGCCCTCACTGATGAAGTATAACAATTATGTATTGTGCTTTCATCTGCTGTACTTACACCAATGATAATCCTTTTCCAGTACCTCACTTATGAGACATGCAGACAACCTCATCACCTTTAGAACAACATGAAGTTACCATAGAGCTCTGCACAATCACATCTAATTCTATGACTATGAAAATAAGATGAACGTAGTTAGTACCTTTATATGTCCTCTTCCATCCTCTTTCTCCAGCTGGATAGCAATATCCTCAAGCATCTCATTTGTGTTGCAGTGTTTACGCTTTTTAGGCAAGAGCTGTGGATGGAGAGCTTTCTGCCGACACGAAGATATTTACATAAGCAGCAATATGGTGAATTAGCAATAGAATGTTTGTATATTTTGTATAGTATATTTGTGCAAATTGTGTTATGTATAGATAAGGAGAGTTCACTAATTCAGTTGCTGGCAAGAGAGTAAGTTTTGCTACCTGAAGAAACACTTACTAAGTAGTTTAGCTGGTGATCACAGCCAGTCAGATGGCTGAATATTTTTTTCTTCTTCAGCTTCAAAGAGCACAGCTGACACAGGTAACAGCATGGAGGTGGATTCCCATCCACGCTCTGGCACTTAATAACAGCTTGTAGACCTGTGACAAACATGCTCACACACAGTTTGGTGCAGTGAATTTAAATCAATGCATCATCTTTTGTATGTGATTATTTTGCTAGATTACATAGTATGCAGATACACTCACCGATAAGAGGCTTTCGACCATTGTAGTTTTCTAGAAAATCTTCTATTGATTGAAACTGATCAGAAGGACATTGAGTCCGAGTAAGAGGAGACTGGGAAATTGGACTTTGTGAGAACACAAAGGTGTTTTCTTCTGCTAAGGTGTCTGATTGAGGCTCCTCTGCAAATATAAATGAGAGTTACACAAACACCAAAAAGAATTATATTTTATATATATATAAATACACTACCATGTGCTTCCCAGCCGGTGTTGATTGGTTCTTGTAAATTAGACTCATCATGAAACGGACTTAAATCATGCGTTGTAGCCTGTTCCGGTGTTTCTGTTAGCATTTGGGTTCTGATCTGCTTGATAACGATCTCCACATCTCTGACAGGCTCTGGACTATCAGGTGACCTTTCAATCCTGAAAAATCCATGCCTGTTTGTTAGATCCTGGGTTAACTCTGGTACCATGTGGCTCACTGAAAGAGATGGTGTTTGCAGCTGGATTTCATATGGAGTGGTTTGGGCCAGGTGCATTGGATGTGATTCATAGCTGACTCCAAATGACTGGACAGAATTGTTCCCATCATCTTCACCAGCATGCACAATGTCATTCTGGCAAATAATTCTGATGGGGATACACTGTCTTGGTGGTCTTACAACAGAGATTGTCCTTGCTTCAGTAAAACACTGGTTTTCAGATGGCATTATATATCTTTGAAGGCTTCTGCCTGGGATTGGTTGATGCTGATTTATGTGTTGGCTGAGGACTGGAGCTGGGGAGCTTTCTAGAAAAGGTATTCTAGATGAAACACGAGAATCCACTAGACTCTGAGGTGTAGATACATCCTGGCATGTGAATAATGGTTTGACAGGACCTGCGGTTCTATGGAGAGATGGATTTGGTGTTGGATTGGTTGAGACTTGTTGGGGTTCAATCATACTTGAACGCTTTGACCTCGATGGTGTCGTAGATACACACTGTGTTGGGACCAAACTTCCTAAAGTTGGAAGTTGTGCAGTCCCATTCATATTGTCAGACTCTTGCTGCTCTTGAGCACCGGTGTCTTTACCTTTCACAGAACATAGATACATTAAAATACACCAAACATATATCAGTATCCAATTACTACAGTATAATAATGAAACAGATTAAGTCATATTAAACATATTGCAGTATCCATACCTTCAGACGGGCTGTTATGAACAAGCAAATTAGGTGCATTAGGGTTTCGCTGATCCTTGATCTTCTTCATCTGAGCAAAAGCTAAGACAATACCAAGTCAAAAATCGCCACTAAACAGTTGTCTTTCCTTAAATTGTTCATTTAATCTAACATTTAGCACCAATTTATTTAAAGCGACATAAAAAATGTGAAAATGATCAAATCTCATGTGAACTAAATTGTCATACTAAATTAGATTCAATTAAATCTTGGATCAATCACTACTGTTTGTATTCTCATTTGTTAGTGACTCTGGATAGAAGCATCTGTTAAATGAATAATTAATATTAAACTGCTGTATAAATAGGCTTCAAACAACATATTTGAAAATAAGCGCAGATAAATATTTCTGAGGTGACTGCTCTTTACTTAAAGTGCTTTGCATGGAAAATATTCATACAACTCAATGTTTTCATTAATTTCAGCTATTTTTCCACAAGTTTTGAATGAATATCCAATAAGATAAGACATTAAAGACAGACCATCAGGAACAGGCAATGATGCCATCTCCTTGTAGATGACTTCATACACACTCAGAACCTTATCAGAGAAATTGGAAGGTTAGTGAGGAGACTGTATATTAATATATAACAAAACGATTTTGATGCTTTTTTTTTTTACCTGTATATCACCTGTTCCCTCCTTCTTTTCAACCTTTTTTGCGATATCCATTAGAGGGCGAGCCAAAAGAGTCAGGTCTGTATCAGACGTCCACCCATGTGCATGATGAGATTTCTGTTACGGAAAGTTCCCAAAAATAATTACATAGGTAAACTACTGCAAGTAGAACCAGAAGACAATAAAAGTAGTTGATAAAATGTGCATTTAATCACAACAAGAGAAGAAGAGAAGCATGCCGTTTCAAAGCTACAAGATATAATAAAACAAATAATAAAGAAGCATAAATGATGGAGTATCTAGATGTTCGAACCACAACTATGAAAAACTTATCAGATTTGCTTAAAGGTGTTACAGCTTCCACGTGTACCATGGAAGGGTCAATGCAAGCAGAAGATAATTCTGTATATATTAAAGAGTTTCTACATCCTTCAATAAAGAGTAAATGAATGCATTAAATATAAACAAAAATATGCACATAACAAAATTAAACTCAAAGCATAAATGAAAGCGTACATAAATAAAAAAAATATGTAATAAAAGCACAATGTAAGAATACATGAAAGAAAAGTAAATCATATATTTTCATATTCCCTTACATAAAATAGAGAAGAAAACACAGCAATCTGTCATGTCATGTTGAAAATCTTAAAAAAAAAAAAAATCTCAAAACCAATAACTTACAATGTAATTGTATCTGTGAATGCTGCCCATGATGTGGTTCCTGATATCAGCCTTGGTTATTCTCAAAACGCAGACATCACAAAAGTACAATGCAGGCTGATTATATGCCAACACCTCTGTGATGGAGTTCAGACCTGAAACATTCAAACAGGTTCACACACAATTTTTTTTTTTTTTTTTTACAAGATTTTAGATGTTTCTTTAAATCCAGGAACTTAATCATTTTGGATGCTGGACCCTCTCTTACCAATGATGGGCTGTGCTCTGTTCTGATTGTGGAGATATGAACGTATGGAACTGTACAGGTCACTGTGGCACCCTGGAACGCAATACAGTACAATTTTCACCAAGAGGACAACTATGGTAAAATATAATTACAGGAGTGTGCTAGAAACTGTGACAGAACAAACCTGGGCTGCTGGCAGCAAACATAACTGGGCTGCTGAGAAGACAACAAACAAAAAATTCCGAGAAACAACTAGAGGGCGAAAGAGAAAGAAAAACCAGAACAGTGTCTAGATAGGCTAAACGTCCAAGCTATCCACATGTATATTCAGAATAGCATACTAACATCCTACACTTACTATATCTGCAGTGTACTGTATGCTGAGTGGAATACCTGAATGAAATCTTCGATAATGTGTACCGTTTTACTATGTTTACTGTGTAGTACACAGTATGATGTAGGCACTAACTAGTTTTCCATTGCGAACGAAAGGTATGATATGTTTACTTACAACTTTTGCAAGTCTAGTGAGTGCAACCGTCAGAAAATAACTGCAACCCATCGTTATCTGTTCTTACTCATAGTATTAAAGTTTTAGTTGAGTAACAGAGAGAAAATGGCTATAAACCCAACATGATACGAGAAAAAAAGACATCAAGTATTTTTAAAGTGTGACCGCGTTTAGTTGTGATTTCTAAAGAGTGCCCGCTACCATCTAAACACGTGCGATTAGCTTGTCTATTTCGTCCGACAAAAACTCTGAACTTATCAAACAAAAATGGTTAAGAAGTGTTTTTTCATAGGGTTAAAGTGATAATTTGCTTGCCTACCTGTACTTTATACTTTAGTGAGGCGTAAATGCCTGTTGCGTTGTTTGGAGGTGTGTAGAGTCATGAATATTCATTAACACGTCAGCAAAGCCTCGTGAATATTCATAAATTGAAATGTTCGTAAATCTTGTCTTTCCTGAAATGAAACTAAGAATGAGGAAACTGAACTTTTGTACTTCCAAGAGCTAAAAATAGGAGGGTATTTAAAAATTAAAATATGAACGAATTAGAATTTTCTAGAAAAAATAAATAAAAACGAATACAAACACTTTGTGTATGTTTGTATTAACTTATTTAAGGTATCACTATTTCTCGTTTTTTTAATCTTATACGTTGTCTTTACATTACACATTAATAAGCACGTTTTTGCTTATTTAATGTGTTTTGCTGTGTGATCTCCTTCCCCTTCAAGGCCGAGGAAGTGATAAACTATCCAAAAGTATTGCGTTGTCTCTCTGAAGGCCAACGTGACCTTCTCAGCCTAAAGAGATTAAAGAAAAGAATTACTGCTGCTGTCATTATCTCTTCTTGGCTTAAGTACAAGAATTTCCGAAATGTGTGTGTGTATATTCCTCATCTAAATTTACGTTTTCACCTTAATCTCACAGTACATTATAAACCCTTCTGAGCATTTCTTTCGTCTGTCTCGAAGGCTTGCACCACTTCTCTCTTTTCTATTCTTAAGACACAGATGTTTTCAGTCTTGCTTACCTAGGCAAAACATAATAGCAAGAAGACAAGAATAAGGTGACCTGAACAGAATTTGAACCGGAAAACAAGGCTCTAATACAGAAATGTATTACTGGTAGAAGAAAACAGATGGTACAACTGTCCTGTTGGGAAAAAAGCTAGCAAATTGTATTATTATGTAATCTATAGTTAATCACAGTCTTCTTAGGTGCATTTATTCATGCCATGTTTTATCTGAGTGGTGAATGGGGGTCTGGCCAAGAGTAGGAATGCTTTTGAACCCCCAAACATAAATTCCAACTCTGCCTAGGGTCATGCAGGTCAATAGCTCAATAAATATCTCTAACTCTTTCAGATTTGTCAGCTCGATTGGTTGCTTCATACTACATTCATGAAGAGAATGTTTCTATAAAGTCAGTGTGGATGTGTTGTTCTCCATTTTATCAACCATTTTATGTTTTGATTCACTCCTTTTTACTACTGTGTTTGTTCTAAGTGTTTGCAGGTATTGTTTACAGCTATGAGAGAACAAACAGAAACCGATTGTACGATATTTTAAGTATGTGACAAACAACAAAATAAGCTCTAATCAAATGCACAACTAATAGCTCACGCGGGGTGGAGTGAAAGCTGTTTCATGACTTTTATTAGCACTTGTTTGGGAGTGCTAATAAAAGTCATGAAACAGCTTTCACTCCACCCCGCGTGAGCTATTAGTTGTGCATTTGATTGGATGCTTTTTATTTGGGTGGCAGTACACTGAAAAAAATGTTTCATTCATCCAATTCAAAAAATTTAGGGTAATGATTCACATCTATATTTTTTAAATTGAGGGCCTAGGCCTGAGGGCCTAAATGAGGCCTACATTTTTTTAATTGGATGAATGAAACATGTTTTTCAGTGTATATGTCGAGTGTGATTGGTTGGGTTGGTGGCCTCATATGAACTTGTGATGAATTTTCAGCAAGTGTTACAACTATGTTCTACAAGAATGCAGTGTAACTTGTTGACTTCAACGATTATTTGACATGAGAGTCTTCTCCATCCTCCCATGTTTCTCTAAAAAAAAAAAACCTCATCCCACCACAGATTATTGGCCAGTTAATGTAAACAATGGCACCTTTGATGAAACTGCCTGATAATTCTTATTTACTTTTATTCTCTGATTATATGTATATTTTTGTTTATGTGTTTAGTAATTTTATATACGGTACAAATATATCTTTTCCTTCTCTTGTTTCTTTAAGACCTGACACAGAGGCCCTGTCCTTGGATGCCATCTGAGTGAGATAATGAACAGAGTAACTCCTCACTTTTCCCTGTGCCTGGTGTTTAATTTTATCTTTCTCATTCAAAATATCCATATGTTCACTGAATACCATATATTCATCATACATTCACTGTATCATATATTCACTGTATTGATTCCTTAGATCTTTTTTTATTTTTATTTTAAATTTTTTTTACAGAAATTATCATCAGTTAATCGTTATATTTTGATTTATCTTGTTTTATGACCTAGCAAGGTAAAAAAATTAAGAGGAAGTTGATGCTCACAGTTGTTTTCCCATTTCTTAAATAGTGTTAAAACTACAATTGCTTAATACAGTAATCAGTTTGGCTGATGAAAAACATTATCACAAGGACCTGCAAGAATGTTTCAACTTTCAAACATTGCAAGATAATTTTAAGATAATTCAACGGGGAATTTCTTGGTCCTTCCTGTCACATTGCACAGCCTATAAAATGTTTGGTTTTCTTAATGCATTTTAGAAGACTTTTTGCATTCTGCAGCTATATTTCTCCTTCAGAGTGCCTTGTTTATCTACTTACATTCTGGGTCATATTTGATATATGTTTTCATTCCATTTTCATTTTGCTTTTACAACGTTTATGCTTATTTGATTTAATTTATTGGGCTCTATATTATCACTATTATCAGACTTTATACTTGAATTTACTTTTATCTGGATTTTAGTCTGGATCATCTGCTTGGTTTACACTGCATCAGTGCCATAATGTAAATGTAATGTTATTTATCATAATCTGATAATTTGTTTTTCTTTATCCTTATAAGACTAATACAGTTTACTGTTGTTTATTTTAAACCTTGTTGGACTTTAATTTGATTATAAGAGTACCTTTTGGTGTTGAAGAATTGCAAAGGACAGTAGTCAGAGAGAATGTGTTTACCGATTTGGCTTATTAGCAGTAGTACAGAGCAGATGTCTGCCTCCCTCTTATGCTCTCGTCTCTCGTCTAGACAAACAACAGTTCTCACACCCCACCCCCTCACAGAGTGAGCAAAAACAACAGACATCTGCACATCTGAAAGATATGAGAAAAGTGAAAGAGAAGCTGTGTGACAATACGAATTGTAAGTTTGAAAATGAACAAAGACAGTTATATTCCTACTTTTGGATCCTCCTCGTCCTTTCTATCGGAGTTTTGCCTTCCTAGACTGAAGCCACAGGCCAGACATAGGCCTATGGCCATAGGTCACAGACATAGGTCTTTCTGTCTACTTTTACCTCATGCTGTTTCTCTCTCTCTCTCTCTCTCTCTCTCTCTTTCTTTATCTCTCAGGTAACATTGCCCAAACAAGCTGAGTGGAAATTACATGTACCTGTGTATAATTTCATGCATCTATTCCCAATTATAACCTCTCATTAATGTTATTAAACTGTTTCAATTACAATGTATGTGCAAATTAGTTTTGATTCCATATTAACATTTAAGTGCTATTTACTGCAGTGCAGTAGAGTCACATTCTAGCAGTCTTCTCTTCTATATATTTTGTTATTTTAACTGTGATGATTTCCGTTGGTGGTTTCAGTAAAGTAAAGTGTGCTGATAGACAAGACACGTACAGTTTTATATCATCGTGTTAACAATGTTTCTTCAGTCATTTGGCAGTCCTACAACCAGAATCACTGTAGGGAAACCACCTTCACAGAATGCAGTGTGAATGTGAGAGTGTTCTTTCTGAATGTGTGGACGGAGTGAATGCATATGCATGGTGAGTCCAACACACGAGAATGAGAGAAGGAGCCCAATGTGAGGAATACAGATGCATGAGAATTTGAAATTTAGACTGTCATGTGCACTGCAAAACATGTCTTATTAAATTGATGGTAAAAACTGTCAGCTGTTTTTTTTTTCAGAAAATTCATATACAGTAAGAATTTTGAATTACAGGAAAAAAGACTGGTTGTAAAATTGAGGTATAGGCTGATGAAAATTATGTTGAAAGTTGATTAAAGAGAAAATAAATGAAAGACAGTTTAAGATACTGTCAAAAGCACAAAATATGTTCATTCTTGTAAGTGGTTGATGCATCCTCCAGGCCCAGAGAGGTTTAGGTTATAAAAAATTTCGTTCTACTGACACCTACAGGGCTAACACTGTATAACATTCAGAGTCTAATTACTTTATTGCTTCATTTTTCATTCAATCTCAATGCTACATGAGTCCAGGTAACCACCCACAAAACATAGCATTTAATAAAAAGCAGATAAAAGGTAATAGTTAATAAAATAGTTCAACAATCAGAAACAGAGCCAAACCAGAGATTTAAATCACCTTAAACAGATATGAACTGAGTCCACAAGAGATAATCACATGCCCACACTCAAATGTGAATAGTTCCCTAGTATATTTGTCATACCACATGTCTATATCATTCTCTGTTCACATTTCTCTCTTCTGTACACACAAAAATAGTTTTTGTCATTCAAGAAATGGTGATTTAACCAAAGCAATTAACAGGCTAATGAAGCTTTAGGACAAGCAAAAAGAGAAAACAGTGTCTATAGACTTCCTTTGAGTATCTGCTTTTCTTTATGTTTTGTTCCATAATTTTCTCTCCCATTCATGACTCATTTTCTCACTGAGGTTGATCACTGTAAGAGAAGGTGGCAAAACAGTTACACAGTTAATGATCAACACATACAGAATGAATCCCTCTGCCTGTAAATGCCCTTGTTGTTCCTACATACTGCATTAAAAATGTAAGGACGAAATTCATCAAGAAAAAGCTCACATTCAGTTAATAAATGATCATTACTCACATAGTTTCATAAGAGCTGTCTTTCGTTTTGAGGAACCGCATGGCAAAAAAAGCCCCAGCCTGCAGCACCAACACTAGGATGATTCCTCCAATGAAGCTGGACAGGTCAAATGATGCTTGAGAGAAATCAGGGCCTGACCCAGGGGTTGTATCTATAATGAAAATGAGAATTCAGTAAACAACAACAACTGGTGTATCAGAATTTCCAATATGGTTATGTTTCCTTATTTTTCATAGTATATTCATTATGACTTATTCTTTTATGGTTTAATTACACTATATTCACATTACTGTATTACGTTACTCATATAGCCTA